TCTAATTTCATGTCTGCTTGTATAATTTAGCCTCCTCTATTTGAGAGTCAGCTTGTGGTTCAAACGTGTATGACTAAATTACCCCATCAGTGACTGAATTTAACTGAAAAATACTTTCGAAATGCACAAGAGATGTCTTTGTTATTTAGGATAAGTGAATAAATAAAAGTTGACAAAGTTAAAGTTATTCTTTTGAATATTGGATAAAATATATGGGTTGCAGATGTGTTCTATATCCATGATACAGATAGACATATTCTTCATAAAATGTACAGGATTAAATCATGATTGTAAAAAAGATAAACAATCCCTGAGCTCTAATATTTCTGTTCCATCTTCAGCCTCTTCAATCAGAAATTTATACTGAGAGGCAATGTTAGAGCAAAAGTTCCAGAGACCATGTCATAAATGCATAAAACAACAGAATATGGGCAGACAGGGTCATAACCTAATGGGTCCTTTAGCTGCATAACACCGATTTGTCTGTATTGCATGTATTGGTATTTAAGACTTGTATTCGTATACTGTATGAAAGCTGAGTTCATTTATTTGCTCCTTCCTTTGACAGGCCATATAGTACACATATAAAGATTAAAATAACACTGAAAAAGAGAAAATCTAACAAACTGATAATCAACGGTGTTTCTACAGTTTGTTATATTTCCAACACAAATTAGTTGATTTTTGTTTAAATTTGTCGTTGTTTTGTCATGTGCTTGGGCTTCTGGTCTGGTGTCAGCCCTGTTTGTGGCAGTGACAGTGAGGCATGACAGTCCCTCTATCAGGCTGGGGAAGTTGTGGTATGATCAAATTTAAAGGGCAGGCAGAATGACACCGACTCCAAGAGAGGAGACCCATCACTGTCATTCTCCTTATCTTCTTTCCCCACTGACCTCATCACCTCTGTCACACTGTTCACACAGCACAGTGGGTCATTACAGTTCAAATAATACTGGAAATAAATGCTTCCAGCAGATGCAGCCAACTGTACTGAATACGTACAGGAAGTGTAACACATGTGTCTGCTGGAATACATGCTGGAGCATGCAATCTCACACTTAGTTGCACTTCTTCAAGTGTTTGGGTCCTGACAGCTTTGTGAATCCCGACACCACAAACTGACATGGGAGATAAACCCCCATGTTGACTAGCTCACAGTTACCTAGAGCAACTGAGTCATTCCTCAATAAGTGGAACAGAGCATGGCAGGGCTGAATTCCCTCCGTGCTGAGAGTATTTATGATTGTATCAGATCTTGTAGTCCGCAATTAGTTCAAAGTAGGTCTGTTGTTGCTGAAAATGTAAAAGACTCATTGATTAGAGAGGCAGGTGCCCCATGTTGGATGTGAGCACCTTAACAAACAGTTGCTGGTCAAAATATTATCTTCTGTGTAAGATTTCAGTCATGGTCGCTCTTGACACATAATAATCAACGAGGTTCTTTAAAAACCATCTTAGCCCCTCAGATACAGGACAGCTTTTACCTTGAAAATGTCATGTAATGATGAAACAGATCACACTGAGGTCAGATCAAGGTAGAAGAAACAGCAAAGCCAACTGATATGATTGTGCTATTGTAGACACACAATCGGCAGTAATGAATGCATGATTGTGAACAGTTTTAAGTGATAAAGGCCATGGCTACCTCAGTGTGGAGTGTCACTGTGACCTTCTTAAAAATAAATTTTCATATTGTTTAATTGCTTTTTTGTTGTTTTGTATTGTCTTTTTGTGTTTTTTTTGTGCTTATGAACAAAGAATGTGTAATATTTTAAGTTGTCTGACATTTTTCTGAGACATTTACTTTGCAAAAGTTGTTGAGTGTCAAAGATCTTGGAAACATTACTCCATTAATATCAAGCAAACCAGAACGATGAGTAATGTCTTCACATTTCAGCTGATATTTCCAAGTCCCCAATGTAAATGTCAAGCTCAGTTTTATGTGGTTGTCATGCCATCTATCACTCTCAGTTGGATACAGCTGCTTTAACAAGGTCCTTTTCTGTGTAAGGATAAGCACAGACCCTTTCCTTTTGGCGTCAAAGCACAAAAGTTACCATTTAAAACTTTGCCACTATTCAGCTTTATGTTTTCATAAGATAAAGAAGAGTTTTTCTCATCGTTATCATGTTTAATGATACTAATCCCTTATCTGAATCAACATTTGTCAGAAAGCAAATATTCCAAGTCCAAAATTAACAAATATTTGTGTAGGAGGCCATTTTAGCTTCTTTCCATTTTATCAGACACTTGTTGAATAAAAAAAAACATTAGTAACACTGCAAATGATTGGTATGTGATAAAGATGTATATTGCATTAATTTACCCAGCAATATTCAAGCAGTTCTGTTATTTGCATAACAGAGCAAAAATTAAAAATTCATTTTTCAGCAAACATTTTCTATCAAGGAAACCATAGCTACAGAACTGTTTCTCTGTGAGATTTAAAAATGCTGTTCTTCTCATGTGATTTTCCTTTTCCTAAAGCTTTCAGTTATAGACCTGTAAAATATCTCTGTCCCATTTACCTTGTTTGTATTTCCTCTCATCTGCACTCATCATTTCTCCTGCTGGGCAAAAGATGACAAAAATTGATCTGAATGTGTGATCCTGGCAGCAGAACACTACAGTTTTGGTTCCATAGTCATTAAAGCAATTTTAGTGACAGTTATTGAGTTTCATTTATTGTATTATGTGACAAAACTTTTCCGATGCCCCCTATCTTATCAGATTTTTCCTAAATGAAATCTTACCTCAGGTGTAAGAGGTGTTCTTTCTCAATTGATTTCCGGTGTAGAACATGACAAATGTCATTATATATGTGTGGTGATGCCGATGCTTGTGTACACAACTGTAGTTGCTCTGCTTGGCTGTTTAGCTTGAAGTCATGGCTGAGTAAAATTATTGGTTGTTGCCTGGCCTTCACCCATGTGAATATGACCTAGATTTATGAGCTGTTACAGTTTGAGTCTTCAGTCCTTATACAGCAGACGAGGCTCAATTTATAATATAGGCAAACTTTTTACTACACTAGAATTAGCCAACCACCATGTCTGGCACTAGGAACACAAAACCTGTGGACTAAGTTTGTGTAGACAAGACATGTTGATTAGCGGATGCTGCCAAGATGACACATTTAGGAGGTCAGAAGGAGTGTGGTTCCTCTGTGTCATCCTGTGTCATATATCATAAATAACTTGGGACATCCCATGAAGGGGCGGCACGGTGGTGTGGTGGTTAGCACTGTCGCCTCCCAGCAAGAGGGTTCTGGGTTCAAATCCCGGGGGAACCAGGGCCCTTCTGGGTGGAGTTTGCATGTTCTCCCTGTGTCTGCGTGGGTTTTCTCCGGGTTCTCCGGTTTCCTCCCACAGTCCAAAAACCTGCATGTTAGGCTGATTGGAGATTGGGGAAATTGCCCTTAGGAGTGAATGTGAGTGTGTGTGGTTGTTGGTCCTTGTGTGTCTCTGTGTGGCCCTGCGATGGACTGGCGGACTGTCCAGGGTGTATCCTGCCTCTCGCCCGTTGACCACTGGGATAGGCTCCAGTTCCCCCCGCGACCCCATCAGGGAATAAGCGGTATTGATAATGGAATGGATCCCATGAAGGCCTCATGGAGTGTTTCTGGGGAGAGAAGATTCCCTTTTGGAGTCATCCAATCGTCTCCTCAAATTAAGAGATGGATGATCCTGATATGACTTTAAAATGTAGATCAAATTTGTGAAGAAAAAAAACAGTTGTTTATATAAAGCTGCTTTAACAATACAGAAGTGGTAATATGAACATAAAGCAGGAGGGAAAGATAATTACTGCCTTATGTAGGACCAACTGAAATAGTGGCCGCCTGAACCAACACCAGACTCATTCATCAGGCCTTTCTCAATATAGATGCAATCAGTTTCACATGTGGAACCTTTGATGCCTAAAATAACTCCTCCCACTTCCCTTCACTCTTGGATTTCAGTTGATCATTGCGTAGGTACAGTTTGTACAAAACAGTCATAGATCATGTGCTTTTGTTTTAGCCATTTACATATACTTTTTCTGTACAGATGCCAGGGTCAGACCTTACCTTACTAAAATGTGATTTCAGCCCCGATTGAATGATTCATATTCCGGTGAGTCACGCCTCACAAGTGGTGCAGTAGATGCTTTTCGAACCATACTTTCATGCTGCACTGAATGCTTTTAAGCTGCTGGAGTGTAATACTCATCACTTGTCATACGGCATGAAATTATATAAAATCTTTTTTATCAAAAAATGTAAACATGGTTTAGTTTAAGATCCAAATCCTGTTGCAGCGTATCCCTGTCTCTTTACCGTAAGCAAAGTATGTCAAGAATTAACTCACAATTCTCCATTTCGTTTTCATCTCTTTATGGTAGAGCATAAATACTCTTGTTATTCTAATCTGTGTGCTGTGTGCCACTACATGATTGGTTGATGGCTGATGACTCATTTCAACAGGCTGGTGTGGGGCTGGCAAGAACAGGGGTGGGTAGGTGGTTGTGAAAAGGGGGAGCAGGAGGTGGGAGTAAAGCTTTGCCCCCACCGCCTGTATGCTTGTGTGCAGCAATGTTGTCGAAGCATGTGTTTCTCTTGCATAAACACAGTATAAATACCCGTAAAGGGTGTTAACTTGATCTGATTATTCTTTCTCACAGTTTTCCTCCCTCGTCTCCACAGCCATGGCTACCTGCATCCACACATGAGGAGAAAAACAGAGCCTAGAGCAGAGGGAGAAAGAGAGACTTGAGCTGATCACAGAAATCTGCAGCCCCCAACCTTCCTTCTGTTGCTGCTACAGTGCATGTGAGAGGCAGGGAGGGAGAGGCAACGGAGGAAGAGCTGCTGTTTGTCTTTGAGAGTCGGAGGGAAGAGGAGTGAGCTGTGCAGTACAGAGCAAAGCCAGTCGCTGCTCTGATACGTGTCCAGTGTGAGCAACTCGGCGCAGTCCCTGCATACACCTGCCTCTCGCTGAGCAGTTTCACCAACCAGGACTCTGACACCGGCCACACAAACAGGTGAGTCCACGCAGCCTCGTGATGAAATGCTTAGCAGTACATGGCCAGCTCCAGTTGATGCTCTAATATGACTGCCATTGGTTTTTCTGTTGATGTGTATTTTGAAGTAATGCTGGTCACTGCATTCACATTTTGAAGTGATCATCCAAGAATCATTTTACTCAAACAAAAAATGATTGCACTAAATGGTTATAAATAAGGTTTATCAACCTTCTGGTTGTTTGTGGTTGTGACAAGTGTGGGTGTTGTTTTTTCACATCTGTTTGTGTGTTTCATGATTACTTCACTGACAAGTATCGGAACTTGAAGTGAAATGCTCTTCCTTACAAAAGGGAATTACTCTTATTTTATCTCTAATTCCCTTATGTATAATCATGTGTAAACCCATGTGTCTCTAAAAAGAGAGTGGGTGGAGAGAGACCTGATTCTGCTCTACCACTATTCTTTTGGTCTTGTATGTAGTATATAGAACATATTATTCACTTTGTCAGTATGTATATATACGGTATATGTATACACATATATATATATATAAAGAGAGAGAGAGAGAGAGAGAGAGAGAGAGACAGAGAGATGAAATGCAATAAAAATGCATATTATGAATGCATTTGAGGCGGGCCAAATGTGTATGTATGTAAGTGTGGAGTTTTGGGACAACTGTCAGAAGGATCTGCTTGTGTTTACATTTCAGCTTGTTTATTGAGCTAATAATGAGTTCATAGTCACAACTGCGCAAGACACGGCTCTGTTTTAAACCTAGCGGTTGTGGCATTGACACAGTGTGATGAGTGTAGCATAAGACTGTAGCAAAATTCTGAGCTCACTCTCCAGTCTATTACATAAGAAGGTCTTCAGTGTCATGGGATGATGTTAAAAATACATTTTTGATGGGCACAATTATGCATGTTTCTTTTCTTTGAATTCTGATTGAACACCTTTTCCACAACAACAGTATGTAACACTTGTCGCCCGTTTGTGTGTGTTGGTTGCTCACTAGTGTTTACCACAGGGAATCAGCCAAATCTCTCCTTTAGTATACCACTTGTTGAATTAATTGCTGTTATTTTCCAGTTAGTCTAAATAATAAATGATAAAGCATGTGTGACTACCGTAAACAAAAAGACTAGACTTTTCCTCAAAGCCAAAGTCCAAATAGCATTTTACAGAGAGACACTGTCAGTGTCAAAATGGTTTAACCCCCAGAGACATGACTGTGACCTGGCCTGCCATTGACAGGGAAAAATCCCCTCAGTGTTTGTTTCTTTTGCCGGATGCTGCGTTTGTTTGCCTCTGACTTGTCAATCTGTCACTAACTGTGATGTGGAGGAATCGCTCCCTGCTCCCTATTGACCCTTCCACATCCCTTTCATCACCCAGTCTTCGATACACAGGTTTAACCACCGCTCCATCCATCCCTCTGCGTTTCTCCCACCGGGTTTTAAATGTTTGTCTCTTCACTTTCACTGAGCACCTCCCTCCATCCCTTTCCGCTCCGGTCGCCACAGAAACGGCTGATTCAGGAAGGGTGGGCGGGTGTCTCAGAGCTCTTGCTGCTCTGCCCCATGCGGCGCTCGCACAGTACATTCCTGCTTCTGCGCTGCTTTCGTGGCCCTGATGCACTGACAGTTCAGGTGGCTCAGTCAGATGTTATACAATTCTATTAACCACACAAAGCCTGCCTTTCTCAGTTCCCTCAGAGGACGTATTCGGTATGTAGAGTTGCACTGACGTTCGTGTTCAGTTTTTCTTCCAGCGATGGGTTTCAAATGCCTCTGATGATGTCAGTATTTTTTTTCCTTGTTTACTTTGCTAAATTTGTGGAGGAATTATGTATGACGCTGACGCAAATGACTGTCTCTTGACTGTTTTTCTAAGTAGGTGACCTGGGTTATTGCAGGCTTATTTTTACTTAGACACATATGACACTGGGGTCAGAGCAACACTGTGTGTGTTCAGAGGTTATACTGAGTTGATCAATAATGCAATATACTGCAACCGAGTCATTTAATAATAGATATGTTGTGACCTTTCTCTTACGTAAGGTTGATAAATCAAAATAAGAGTGATGGAGGTGAAAGACTGCCGTGTTGATAAAATTAGAAACTTTTTTGCATAAGAATCCCTCATCCTTTCTGTGTGTATGACATTAGAATTCCCACTACTCTAATAATTAGAACTTGATCAAATATTTACTTCTGTAATTACATACAAATTCAACAGAATTGCCTCACTGTTTGGTGTTGTGGTTTTATCGGTTATGTTGCATTTTTACAGATTGCTCGGTTGCTATGGCGACAGTTTGTACAGTAGCTTTAAGCACCGCTGTTTGGAAAGGTTTCTCAAAAGGAAATTATACCTGAGTTACACCGCTGTCGATTCCGAGCAGGACACCATGAGTTTGTCCTGCTGTGCCAGATTAAATGAAAATGGGAGCAGTTTTTCTGGTGTGGCTATACAGAGAAGATCATTTCTATAAGTATCGATTTGCTTCTTGGAAATCAATCTTTTTTATTTAATCTATTTACTGTTAAAATCACCCTCTTACTTGCAGATTTTAGGATTAGCCAGAAACACGAATTGACCAGAATTATTCAGTACAATGTCCGTAGAACTTTTCTTGATCTGATTTTATTTCATTTCAAATTCTTTCATCAATCTTTCATCCTTTTTCCTTTTCTTCTTTGTTATGTAGATTTACATGCAGGTTGCAGTAGTTTCTCTAGCCTGCAGCGTTCAGCCATTATAGTCAGTGGTGACGCAGCTCGACTCACACAGAACACTGCAGACCCGTCACAAGACACAGCCAGAACAAAGAGCACTCACTGTCATCTAAGAGAAGAACTCCATACTGAGGCAGCCTTCACGCAACACATCACATCTGCCAGCAAGCAGGAAAGTCAGTCACAGTGTGAAGCTGAGTGCAGAGACCTGATTAGCTCAATACAGTTTGTGTTGCTGGACATGTCAGGTACAACGGCATTAGAATTACTTTGATAAGAGTCATTGTATCAATCTATTACTGTATCCACATAAACATCAACGATGGTATAAAACTCACACATTTCACATTTGTAAAAATGTGTTTACGCATTTATAAACCACGGTTAGAACTGTAGGATTAGTCCACTTTAGTTTCAATGAAAAATCAAACGGACACATAACAGGAAGCAAAAAAGGTCAATTAAGTGACAGAAAAGGGGATGTAGGCATCCAATTATGATACAACCGTCACATCAGTTTGATTCAGAGAAGTGTGATTCTGGATGATGATTCATGGACTACAGTTTACATATAGAAGAGAGTCATTGACGTAATGAGATCACCTGATGGTTGTTCGCATGTAATAGATGCCATATTGGAGTTATTAAAGTCACCCTATTTTTCTGCGGGACAATGGCAGATTTTATGCCTGTGCTTACTGACCGTATATTTCCATATCTGCACATAAATGAACAGCTTCCCGTTGTACAGAATACTGGAGACGTCATAATGTACCATGGAGGTCAGAGCAACACACTGCGGTCCAACAAAAAAACTGCCACCAGTTTTGGATGATACCCAGTCAAAGCTGGTGACACTTTTGTAAAATGCTTGTCTTGTAAGAGTATTTTTGCTAACGTTGAGTGATCTGCTTCACCCACACATTGATGAAAATACAACTGTAATGAAACTGCACATCAGTGTTATCAAAAAGCTGTATGCACACTGTATGTTTTGGTAGGCGAAGCCAGATCACTCATGATAGGAGATGCCTTTGAACTGTCAAGACATGTGGTCTGGAAAGAAATAAGGCAAGTATGTACCAAATGTGCCCTATGTTTTGATACCCATCACCATGGATATTGTACAAAGCTTTTAAGTTTTGATTTAGTTTTATCAAATAGTGCTGCGGATGGGTTTTTAAAGCACTATACTCACCTAAAACGTACAACCCTAAAACATTCTTACCCAAACCAAGATTTAAAGGGGTATATGATCACATTAAGAACTTAAGATAATTTTACTCCAGAAAATTGGTGCTTGTTTAGAGCAGACATTCAAAGTCTGATAGACATCACTAACTACTTAATTGTTATCATCATCAAAGTCAGTTAATTGCAAAGCTTGGCAAAATATGCTGCAAACACTGATCGCTTATGTAATTTAATAGGATTTGCAAACACTTATAAATATCCTCTCAAGATAAGAAAAAAAAAATTTAACTGATGGACACATCAATTCAGAATAATCTTGGATAAAGCTTTGGTGACTGTTAGTTAACTCATAGCATACCTCAGATATTTGTTGTGTTTAAAAAAAAAACTATTTTATGTTTTTGGTAATGTGACATTAGAGAGCACGGAATTCAGACATGTGGGATTAAATATGATCATCACCAAGATTTATTAATTTGTGTTTCTTAAATTAAGTCATTTAATTAATCACATTGAAAGGACTAGAAATGACTGTTGTAGACCATTCTGAAAATGACAGTGAATGATTGTATGCATGTATTTTCTATAATTAAATGCTTCATTTATAACACAGGAAGAGGGGATTGAGTATTTTTATTCTTAATGTGTAGATGGCTTGATTTGAGTTCAATTTTTGAAGTTTGAGTGAAACTTCACTGATTTGCAGTGAAAGGTGAATATTTGCTGTCCAGCTGCTCGTTACCACAATCAAGCTCCCCTTGAAGTGCAACCAGGATGATTCCCTGTGGCTAGCTATTATCTGATGACTAATGTTCTCCCAAGTGTTATATTAAAGCCCGATAACTGGTAAGAATAAACATGCTCATTAAAGCTTATTGTAGTTCTAAGATTGAGTGCTGTGACTTCATAGCAAACCTCTGTTATTGTTCCCAAAACCGTGTTGCAGTCCTGTTAGCAACATTAGTCATCGGCACCAATATCCTGACTCCCTTTGGCTCTTTAAAGATTTTTCAGCACTTAGTGTCAGGGTGTCTCTGTGCTAACTTCCCTCCTCTAGCCAAAAATTCCCATCTGGATTCATTCTTC